AACATGTACTATTGAACTAAAAAAACTGAAAACGTTTTCTTTTTTAAAAATATTGCACAACCATTTTTCTAAATACATTTTATTAGGGTTGAGTAAAATTTAACTTTCGTTATTGGATAATTAATTTGTTTAATTTATAGCAGTTATAACATTAATTTAACTGAATAAGTGTTTCGTGATATATCTACGAAGAAAGTTGAAACCACAGATTTCGATGATAAAAAGATGCCATAAGCTAGTTCATAATAAATAAATAAACAAGAAATCTCGCCAAGTAAGTGATTAACATGGTAAGGTTATTTTTAATACTTTTGATAAAACGTAGCTTGTAATGTTTTTGACTAACCCAAAGCAATGCTTTAAATTGCCTTTCAAAACAAGTATTTTAAGATTTATAAAATTACCGAATGCTAATTTCTCCGGTGGCAATGGATCAAAAAAATAAAACTAAATACTTTGAATCTGCATGTACAGATATCTAATTGTTAACAACATATATGTGATATAATAGTAGTTTTCGTGTCATAAGCACCATAACCAACGTGGCTATTTTTCGGCTATAGAGTTCTGAAAAGCAGGGCTTGAGGGACGGAAGACGGAAGAGTAGCCCTAAGCCCACGACTTTTGTCATGAACACTATTTTTACTACCGAGGGTGCAGAAAATGTCCAAATGTTACGAAAAACGCCCTGAGGTAGTAAAAATATTTTTCTAAAATAGTAAATATTTTAAATGATCATTGCCTTGGTTGACCAGAATAAATAAATTATTACGAGTTGCATGGCATCAAAATCCAGATAATTTCAAAACTCTATGAAAGTTTTATTCGAAAACTAGAATAAACTTCAGTAGATAAAATACAACAAAAAAATTTAGGTGACACTTGCCGAATTCCAACTGCCACAAAATTGCCCCTGGCTTATAGCTACAGGCTGTAAAATACCATTTTTTACAACAAAATAATCAAATGATAAATATTTGTTCATTAATTGCAGTAATTGTACTAAAAAATTATCTGTAGGCTGATGAAAGTCACGATGAAAATACCCAAACGACTTGTTTGTCACGTGCTTAAAATACGCATGAACAAAACAATTACAAATCGTTGATAAAAAAATATTTTAAATTTTTATTAAGTATCGGAGAAGGAATCCATGCAACAAGAAAAAAGTATTTTTTTTTTACTTTTTCATTGTTTGTTATATTGCAGCATTCTAGAATAATGAAAGTGTTTAATAAATAAATGTAATGAAAATAAAATAAGCTATAATGAATTATCCAAAATTTTCTGCATACCACGAAACATAATTGATACATTAAGCATGTCAAAGTATTTGTATTTCTAGAATTTGTTTCTTTGAAGTTTAAGTGTGTATACTCTTTTGAAATCTAGTGCAACTTATTTCCAGAATATTTCCTGCTTTGAAGATACTTATTTTAAATATTTTTGACACGGAACAACATCATATCGTTTCTAATTTTTTCTTAGAACAGTCACTTTGATATCATAGAGAGTTGTGAAAAACGATAACTATTCCACGTACATAAAAAAAAGTCTACTAATAGGCTCATATACTATATTAAAACAGTAGAATATTATAAAATTGACACATTGTGTGTTGTAGTTGTGTCGAGTACGAAATTGACAGAATGACAGTTATTTCGTTTAATATTATAAAATTATTATTTGAACGCTAGACATTGATAAGGATAGAGTACGTTCCTTTGTCGATGAAATGGCCAAAATTTATTTTAACTTCTACTAATTAAACCTTTAAAAAAAACTTTGGCAACGTTTGCTGAAACGGATTTTTCCGTATTTGTCACCTACGTAATATGGGTTCGACAACCGTAAATGTTTATACTTGCATGAAACGCCGAAAAAAGCGTTACGGAGCAAGTTCATGGCATCTCGAACTTGAAATTGGACGAGGATGGCAGAGTGAAACGATACATGTGACCAATGAAGGGAGAGGAGGAGCAAAAGAAAACGAGAGAAGGAAAAGAAGAAGGGGGCAAACATTCGGCTGGTGCGATGGTTTCGCACGTGCTACACACCTTTCTCCCTCGCTTGCTTGCCCGCTCTCTCCGTAAGTATCCATCTCATTCCCGCTCGCGTCATAATGAGGCTTACGAGTCATCAAGGTCTCCTGTAGCACTGCCACGTGCGGGGCGGAGTAAACAAGCGCTGAAAAGTGGAGAGGATGAGCGGCTCGTGGCTCCTAGTGGGGCAGAGGCTTCCAATAGGACAGGCGAACCAAGTGATGATAACTGCTCCAAAATAAAAAGTGGATGAGCCAGACAGGTGGACAACATTTAGCCCCGTGCTGCTCTTTGAAACAAGTCGTGCTCTCTGGTCGAGCACTTTACTCAATCACTTCTCTTCGCGTGTTTAAGAGAGAGATCGTCATATTTTTATTTTTTGCCTCGCTCGACCTCATCTCGACATCGGAGTCACTATGAATTTACTCCAGATACTTTCGTCCATTTTCTTCCCCCAATTCTTAGCTTTGATTCAGCAGTTCGATTGGTTGGGTTATCAGAACAAGGGTGTGGTGCACGTAAAAAGTCTCAACGAGCGCTTCAACCCCGCGACTGAGTATCCGATCCTCAATTTTGTAAGTATTACAACTACAGACATATTTTTGGCCCCACAATTGATCAGCCATTGTTTACATACCAAGTCCAAGTGCATTGAAGAACAGGTTCAAAATTTTGTTAAAAAAAAATTTTTTTTTCCATAAAATGCATTGAAATAGCGTTGATGAAAGTTTTATAGTCAACCAAATCTATGCTCCGTAACTTATTTCACCTGTTTTATTAAAATAAGCAATTTTTTTTAACGATTAACACACGATGGCTAGAGATATGGAAATTTTTTTATCATCGATTTAACGCATTTGTAAGCGTGTGAAGCATGTGAAAACCAAGTGTTTCCTTCCACCTGATTAAAAGAAGTTGGTTTAGTAGTGCCATTAGTTTGGTTATTCCTAAAATTTTAATCAACTCAACCGCAACTTGTTTCACTCAAAATAGCAGTTTCAACTAACACTGACTTCAAACGCGTACTTTAATATGCTATATACTTGGAGTTACATTGTAAATATCCGATAACTCATTGTGAACCTATTGGAAATATTGCCTCAAGGTAGGACTGGTCGAACAACACGGTTACACTGCCGAGGAGCACGTCTTGGTTTCACCTGATGGTTACAAGCTGACCTTACATCGAATCTCCGGGAGCCCCAAGTGCAAAACCACAAAACGCAAGCCTGTGGTATACCTTCAACATGGAATTATGCTATCGTCGGATAGTTGGGTACTCATTGGTCCAGAAAAGGATTTAGGTAAGTTTTTTCCGTCCTTGAAATTATTTTACTGCAAATCATCTTATCCGTAGCTCGTAAGGGTTTTGAAAAATTTCTGTATTCGAATGGACTATAGGTTATATAATTAAATTTTAATGTTAGTCCAATCAACTCTCCCACCAAAAATAAATTTTAATTCATTGATGAAAAATTATTTTATCGAGTGAGTTAAATTAAAAATGACACAAAATTTGCTGTATTTTTTAATAGTGTCAACTATAAAAACTACTAAACACACATTAACTAAGGTGTTATTAATCTTATTAAGTACACATAAACTAAAGTCGTATTATTTTGTGTTATCTCATACTCATTATCTCATAAATTTTTCGAAATGGTACCAATTTCTTTATTTCTCGAAAAAAATTTTGGGATAATCGAGATTCATGGTCCTCTCAAATGAAATTTTAGTAAAACCGAATCCTTTTCTTGTCTTAAAATCGTTGTAAGATCACTAATTAGTCTTAACAACTAACCTATGTTTTAATTAGAAAATATAATATGTTGGTTCTTTTTCATCTTCACCTAAAAAAGCTAACAAAATTAAATTATCAATTTAAACATGAAATTTATATTACCATGTATTTGATTCAGGATTTATTTTCACGTAAAAAATCAACCTTAATAACAATTACATACTATCTAACTTACAAACACTTTTAAATAAACGTTATTTAAACTTTTGATTTCACCAATATTATGTGCAATTTTGTAAATATTTGTAGTATCTAGTATATAGAATGAATCAGTAAATTAGTAAAAAATAAAAATTCCAAATTCTATTAAACGAAATATTTTATTACGCCCACAACATCTCGAAACTTTCTGAATATCCCGGTCGTCCAAAAATATTTTTAGACAAAATAGGATTTCCGTAACACCTCGTCCCAATTCTGTTCTCAAGGTTTTTCATGAGTATGATCTGATCATTCGAAGAGACCGACGGACAACTCAAAAATAAGAATAAAGTTATTTACTTTGTCTTTGTATTAAATTTAATTACTTATGAATTTTATGTACATACGTATATATATATGAAAAGATGCTGATTTAAAATCTGAAGTTTGTATGGCGTAAAGCATCTTCGGAGTAATTTAAAATTATTAGACATTTATTCAAACAGTTATAGCTACCATTAGAATTAATGAAAAAACATTGTTTACAAGAAAAAAAGTTATTTGGTCTAGCATGGTCATGTCACGATACAAATTTTGTTTAAACTTTTTAGCGTATCAGTTGGCTGATGCTTGCAAGGATGTGTGGGTGGGCAACGTTCGTGGTAACACGTACTCTGATAAACACGTCAACTCAAAAATGTCCGAAACTGAATTTTGGAAATTTAGGTATTGTTTAAATAACTTAGTAAAATATATACGTTAAATTTTAAATATTTAGTGAGAATAAATTATTCTTATTTATTATTTACAGTTATCACGAAATGGCGGTATACGACATCAAGACATTTATTGATTTTATCCTTCAGACAACTGGTGAGCCAAAAATGACATACATAGGTTATTCTATGGGAACTACCTTGAGTTATGTCTTCTTGTCAACATACCCAGAGTATAACCAAAAGTTCAATTTAGTACAAAGTTTAGCGCCTGTCGTTTACTGGAAATATCCACTACGAAAGATAGTAGCATACGTAGACTTAATTTACCAGCCACTAATTGTAAGTATTGGGTAATAATTTAAAATTTATATCACAAATTTAGTTTAACACGCAATTCAAATATTTAGTGTTATTTTATCAAATTCTAATAAGTCTTTTCATAATCAAATCGTGGAAATGTTAACCAAATATTTGAAATTTTTGTGCTTTATTAGCTGAAAATTTCCATTCACTTGAAATTTATGATGATTAATGTGACTTTACAGGCACTGTTAAATACTTTCCAAGTAAACAAAGTATTGCCGCAGAGTCCCTTAGCTGCAGCGTTTGGGGCTAAATTTTGCAAAGACGGAGATGCTCTTCAAAACTTATGTACTTCGTTGATTTCTACAATTGGACTAGACCCACTCCGACTGAATCGAGTAAGCATTCAATATCAAATTTTATTTAGCTATATAAATCACAATATAAATATGAGAAAATATGGTCAAAAAACACCTCCTGTCTACGACCTATCCAAAGTAACAGCCCCTGTTTCAATATGGTACGCCAAGAATGACGATATCGTCAACTACAAGGTATTACAATTTTTTTTCTCATGTCTTTAATAGAAGTAATAATATGTACAGTAATTTTGGTCTAAGTTACGTAAGAATCCACTAATTTAACTTTTTGATAGTTAAATTCTTCTCAACTCATCGTATTCCTTATCAATTAATTAATTAATTAAATTATTTATTCATTTATTCATTGGTACAAATGGGTTTGAAATTTTTTTTTAAAAATGTCGATTACATTTCAACATTAGAACAATTAATGTTGTAGTTTGTGTAATGTACGTAACACTGTTTTGAAGTGAAATTTTTTTTTGGTATGAAATTTTAAAAACTGGGCAACTCATTAGACTTAAGTATACGTATTATAAGTGTATTTAAATAAATAATGTGAATACACTTAAGTGAGTTTATGAATGAATTTTTCAGGACGTCGAGTACCTGAAAACAAAGTTGCCGAACGTTGTGTCTTTCAGTGAGGTGCATAACGAAAACTTCAACCACTTTGACTTTTTATGGGCCCGAGACGTGAAAGAACTTGTTTACGATTACTTGATTGGATATCCAGTACATTATTAAGTGTGTTATTAAACTTCATCGGAGATCATGGTTTACAATAATCAACATGATTATCTTTAGTACAAAAACTTGCTTATGTATTGTAAGGTCATTGTCCATATTTAAAAAAATATTTATTAAAAGAATGTAGGCATTAAAAAACATTAATTACATTCAGAGAAACCAAAGCTAAGCATCTTAAGACGTCCTATTAGTTAATTAGTTTAACAATACTGAATTAACTGGTTATTATAAAGTGTAATACAATATTGAGCAAGTATTGCATATTTGTTTTGGTGTCTACTATTGTAATTCTACAAAGTAGAAATAATCTTTTATAATATTGTATCAGTGAATACAATTGAAAAACAAGTTTTTTCCGATACATGTATAACGTGATTAGGGTTCCTTCCATACCACGTGATATTTTAAATAATCACGCAAAGTTATTTTTACGTAATAAGATGAGAAAAGTATTCATGTACGCGTCGAAATATTCTATAACATTTTCTATTTTTTAAAGATTGTACAACTATTTTTATAAATATGTAATAAAAAATTTGTATTTCGACTAAAAAAGTCTAAAATTAATTTTTTTCTACTTCCAACTCTTCAAATACCTATTAAGGTATGATTTATAAAACTTTTTCTATAAAAAAAATAATTTATGTTATCATTGTGTAGTGTTTCTTATAATTTATAATAATCTGTAAATATACAATTTTAAAATCTAAAAGTCTGGTATTAGTTTTGAAGGGGTACTGTTTATAACTAATTTAAATTAAATTAAAACAAGAGTACCTTTCAATTTTTTTGAAACATTGAATACTTTCAAACATACCGCTGCTGGACGTTTTTCTTACAATAAGGTGTGAAACGAAAACTTGAACCACTTTGACATTTTACGGTCCCGCAACATAAAAAACCCGTTTACGATTATTTAATTGATAATCTAGTTCTAGATAAATGTATTATTAATCGTCATTCAAAATTATTGATTAAAGGCATATACGCGATTACTTTGAGTCCTAGAATTTGTTTTTTAACTTTTTGACAACTAGTATTAAGATTTGTTAGTTCGAATAGTAGAACTGTTAAAAAAACTAATTACGTTCTGAGAAATCAAGGTTCTGCCCTGGAGATTGTAATGGGTAAACGTCACACACTTTTTGTGGTATTTACAATGATAGGGTTGAATAATAAGCATATTTAAGATTTTTTGGTGAATACAAGTAAAAAACAATTGTTTAAAATATCCATTTAAAGTGTTTATCTTGTATAACATTTTACACTTAAAAAACAAATTTTATCATCATTTTTTGTATCAAGTAACAAATTTGAATCTTAAAAGTATGATAATTTTAATTTTTGTATTTAACACTGATTACTGTTGAATTAATGAATATTTGAAACATTCAACTGTCTACATTCAAAAATGTATAGCTTGATGTTAATTTGTGTAGTATTACAAAGAAATACTCCCAAAACGAGATACTCATCAGAATGTAACTAATACGATTTCAACAGAGAAAATAATTTTTAGATGCGATTAGGATAATGAAAAAAAAATCACGTAATAACACCCAGAGCGATGAAGAGAAAAAAAACAACTGGGAAAAACCTCTCACTGTTACCTGCCTTTGAAATTGTTCAATTGAATATTTTACTTAACGGACACGCGCGTTAGTATCGCTAGCTCATATCAGCTAATCACACATTGTCACCTTCGGCTGCTCAACTATGAATAAAAAAAATATTAAAAAAGTACAAGCACGTGTGAAAAATAGTAAAAAAACACACGACCAAGTGTTGAATAGCGTACGAATGACAACGCACGACTGCGGAAAAAATCGCCGAGTATCGGTTAGCGCCTATAGAGTATACGATACAGTAGCTCGCCAAGTTATAACGCTTCCGCGACCCCCATCCTCCTATATAATACACAACTCCTCGAAAATCCCCGGCTGCAGCTCCGCTGACAGATTTAATCTAGCAAAAGACGCCATTTCCCGCGTCACGGCCAGGCTCAAAGAAGCCAAAGAGAGAGAAGATCGATCGCTTTCTAACGAGTCCCGGTGCTTGCTCTCCTTCCTTTTTTTTTTTTTTTTTTTTTTTTTTTTTTTTTTTTTTTTTTTTTT